GGGCAAATCAGAACTTCTGATGTGAAGTTGTAGTGAGGTTTGGAAAATCGGAGGCTTCTGTAGCACATTGGGACTAGGTCTACCGTCCATGCCTTTCAAAGTGTATCTTTCGAAAACTCATGGAGTCAGAATGTTGACTCGTCCGACTTTTGCCACTTTCTTCGTGTTTGTTTCTACTGGACAATCCAACATGATGGAACACTAAACCTCGTGTGTAGCCCCACCCTGCTGTCTCGAATAAACAAATAACCACCATGTGAACATTTATGAATAGTCCAAGGCACTCATTTGTCTAATTTGCCATCATCTATATCAAGTAAGCGTCTCCAAACGGTATGAACATTTCATGTTGAGAACTTCACCCCAGATCTGAAACACATCACCAGGGTACGCACGTGCTATGTGAAGAAGATTATATATAAAGAAAACGTAGCACAAACATGCGTATTCTATGTCATGTGGAGGAATCGGAGCGAATCTTCATCTTAGACTCTAATGATCTCGGAGTGATTAACTTTACTGTGCAGGTTTCCTTAAAATCTGCAATTAGTTTTGGTTCTCAATCTGCTCCTAGACATCACCTACAACATTCTTCAGGTCAAGTGTTTACCTCGGCATTCTCATTCATATTAGTGTCCTTTATTCCCATCACCTACAGACCCCCTCGACATTTCTGCCTTAATCTTTTGTCCGTATGTTTCTATCTAGACGGGTTGGTGATATTGTTTAGGCATTTTATTTTGGATATAAGAGATTATATGTGAAGGCCTTTTATTGAATTTCCTCAGAACATATAAACTTAACGAAGAAAATATAAATCTAGGAAAATTTGTATCAATATGATTAGTTCATTCATCCTAAAATAATATGTTTATATGATCGCATTACTTTAGAACTATAAATCTTTTCTTCTCACAGCAAATCAGCTTTTAGCGTCTAAAGGAACCATTCTTTTAGATACTGAACTGATACAGTCCATTAGTTTAGATCAATTTCGAATATCTCGCTATCTTGGTATACCTTGTCCATGAGTGACGATGTCAAATGCCTTGGAAAAACTGCTTCACAACATGTAATACGAAGCAAATAAGTAAACATAAGGGCATACTCTCCTTGGTGGTGTTAGGGTATAGTTGATTGAATAACGCCTGTTTAGAATGGTTAATTGTAGAAACCATCAAGCTCCATGTGACCTTAGAAGGCGCCATACTTAATTCAGAAAATCTGGAATATATGTATTCATTCCAGATCTTTGTATATTTTTTCCAGATTCCATACATGTATGTATGTGTGTCTACATGTTTCTTTGCAGTATTTAACTAAGAGTTCTCCTCTTCCACATTGATGCAATTTCTTTATAGGTATATATGTACGGGGAGATATAATACATACATTACCGCCTACAACTAAAGTAATTGCTCCCCATATTCAAATACACCTCATGCGAGGTAAATGTATTGTAACACATTGTTGACGTTCAATATATAAAGATGCCACATAAACTTTCGAGTATAGCAGAAAGTTTGGCCTACTTGGAGTGTGCAGAAAGTTTATAGGCAAACATACACACTAGGATAAGAATGTCCGAGCTGTTCTCCGAGTATTTTTCCAGAAGAGTAAAAATAATAGAGGAGCCTGGTCCGAATTTATTTTATTTCCAACAGTTGCCTTAGTTTAATCTACCAAGACGCACCACTTTTTGACGTCAACGAAACTTTTTTTGGACAATATTCATCCCTTTCCACTAACGACCATAAGACTCAACGACCTCGATTCGGGAACCATTATGGCTTCATACGTTCTTCTCTTTTCTTTTTTGTTGACCACGGTTCCCATCGTAAGAAATTGTGCTGAAAATGTTCCACTCGTGTGTTGAGTTAGCATATCTCGATGTAAGAGATTTAAGACACATGATATAAGTACGACGAGTTCTTCTCTCTGTAGTTTGTAGCTCCGGCTTCAGATACGGTATCCCATTAGTACATTATACACGAGGAACGGCTTGTTTCGACGCAAAAAGCGCAGTCAAATCCATCGGAATCTTCGGTTGCATAGCGACGTACCAGTGAGAAAATATAACGTAGTACGAGTGAAGCTGTAGAGAAGACAAGATTACAGTACTTGGAGGTCAATGTCAAGGGATGGTGAGATTAAGTGTCATGGGCTGACGATGTACTCTGCCGTCGCCCTCGTGACGTACTGTACAAGGACTTGCCGTGTGCTTCGAATCATGCACTCCTCCTTATTGCACAAATGAGCTCTCGCCGTCTCACATGAAACTGCACGAGCCAAAGAAGATTTTGGAAGAAAATCTACGCGAAATCTCTGGATGCGCAGAAAATGGAGGAGAAAAGGAAGATGCAGATTATATATAGCAGTGCAGTAACCGAGAGATAACTGATTTTGTAGTTGGGGTAGCTACGTCCATCTCACATGGAGCATATGAGAGAGAGAGACTGAGTTGCAGTAGGCGGCTCAAGCTTTGATCCGATAGAGTGGCGAAGTATGACGGCTTATGCTGAAGAGAATATGTGCAGTCAGTAATGCCAGTGTAGCTGTCAAACCCATAGTCCTGAACATGAAACAACAAAATACTTGCACTTAGTAAGACAACGAGGACGATTCGCTGTGTGAAAGAGAATAAAGTGTAAAAGTAGATTGTACAGTACATTGGAGGAGGAGGAGGAGAGGTTGCCAGAAGAACTTGGGAGAAGAGAACCTACGAGGACACACGCATCTGCATGACGAGACTGAACTGTAGGATTTGGTCATGTTTGCGAGCCGCAGGTAGAGGTGGATGGTGGAAGAGCAGAATAGAGACATATGGAAATAAAGTTGGGAAAGTAGGAGGAGGAAGAGGAGGCATGTGCAAACATTATGAAGCTCAAATTTGGGATAAGATTGCTACATGGAATTATCACAATGCCTAGCTTGGTTGGTGGTTCCATACAAAAGAGCTTGGGGAAAAGGTTTGGATTTAGACTCGATGAAAGTGAGATGCCAAGGCTAGAGTAGCATTTGGGTGCCGCATTCATGTTGCAGTTTCGAGATTGGCTAGCCTTCGTAGAATTATTCCTTTCCATGGCTAGGAGGTTTGAACATCCGAGAGTCACCCCATAAATAAACACAAATGTAGTCGAGAGGAAGAACGTCTTGAGGAAAAAAGGGGGTTTGGGGGAGGGGGGTCAAATAAGAGGAGAGGAGAGATATCTGTCCACATGCATTCATACCATGGAACCGGGGAAGAAGAGGGTTGATTGTCTTGGACATGATCAAGATGGAGGACGAAAATGGAGTGGGAGCAAAGTACACTCATGGTGCGGTCTGGAGAAATGGCCCACAGGGAAGCGAGCATGATGTCAGAATGGGAAGCAATCCAGCTGATGTGGGCGAAAAGCTCGACAAGCACGGGTTAGCCACAAGCCAAGGGCAGGATGATCGCTAGTATACTGCGAGGGAAAAGGTGTCGGTAGTTTCTAGCCATTATCAGCTTAGCGAGGGAGGTCGAGTGAGAGAGTGAGAGAGTGAGTGTTCGAGAGAAGTAGTAAGAACGTACACTCATATTCCGGTCTCGAGAGAATGGCCCACGTTCGAGAGATCATTGGACCTGCCAATTCCTTGAGAAGAGCGAGAATTTATTTGTCTGGTCACCATTTTAAATCCACAATGATGATCCAACTACTAATTCTTACTAATCTCGCTCACCGGAGCTCGCCCCTCGCTCGCCATGTGTGCGAGGCGCTCATCAGCACATGTGGTTCCGTTCTGAGGCCTCGCTTCTTAACAATAGCAACAAATGACGAGTACAACCCGGTACGAGCCCTGGGTGGGAAGAACCCCACTCGAGGCGTGCGTGCTATATCAGAGCACCCCCAGGTTGGAGAAACTTAAACTCACGCTCTGGTACTAATTCGAGCAGCTCCGGGATGATCGAACCGCATTGATGGGGGTGCAAACCTCAGACCTGCCCTCGCTCGAAGCACGCAGACCAAAGTTCCCGGCGTGCAGATCATGAGACATGTGGGAGCGATGTTTCAACTTGCTTGCGGAGTCGAGAACTCGATTCTATGCTTGGATCGAGCCAACCGCGTACGCAGGGTGAGTCACTGGGCTCACTTGGCACCTGTGGACGCGGTAATGGCCCACTATGGACGGAGTCGAGTCGGTACCGGAGCTGGTAATGGTGGTGAGTGACAGCGATGGAGAGAGAGAGAGAGAGGGGGAGGAGAGAAAGCCGTATCACATCAGTGAGAGAGAGAGAGAGAGAGTCAGTAACCGACAAACGGAGGCCTTCATTATACAATAACGATTCCTGGAGGTGGAGGGGGGAGTGTTAAATTGGAAGAAGGCCTGAGGCTTGATGAGGGTCCATGGCCCACTGCGAGGGGATAGGACGGCAATAATAATCGATCCTGCAGCAAAGTCCAATGGGCGTACTCTAAAATTACCTCGGAAGTTCTATGAGCTCGGCTCTTTATTCCGAGAAGTCGTCGTATGCCGTCGGACAGATTCATGACGCCAGATTGTCAAAACTCGCGAAACCACCACCCCGTGGTTCGAGAGGAGGAGGAGGAGGAAGGAGGAAGGAGTAGCGGTGGGGGGTGGAGTATCTGAGTGCATTACAACGTATGTATGTATGGAGTATTTTGTTGTGTAGTGTAGTGTGGCTGCTGCCGGAGTAGCAGCAGCAGAAGTAGCCTCGTAGCTCGCGCAATGAAAATGGCACATGAGGATGATGGATGTCCATGTGAGAGCGCAATGGAGGCATAGCATTCGGTAGCGACGAGCAGGGAGGGAGGGAGGCAGCAGTGATGGCAGAGCAGAGACAGCCGAGCAGGCCTACTCGGTAGGTCTGATGCTATTGCGAGGCTATGGGGCTCCGTCGGCGCTGCTGCTTCTGAGCTGGTCTGTTCCGGTCTGGTCATCACTCGCTGCTCTGAGCTCCCCAGTCCGCTTTTTCTCCCCCTGCCCCCGCCCTCGCCCTCTTCCATTGTCTATAGCTAGTGTACCGGAGGCGGGGGGGCTTGTCTGTGGACATTGTCTCGGGCTCTCGCGAGAGGGAGGGAGGGGCTTCTGGTTTAGCGAGGACGAGCTCAGCTCGCACAAGGGCTCTCGGGGAATTGGGGCGAAGAGAGGGAACCAAAAGCAGGAAAGTAGTGAAGTGCAGTAGAAGGAAGGCAGAGCCAGAGCCTCACAAGCGGGAGGGAGGGACCCGGGGAGGTAGGGAAAGGAAGGGCATGGAGTAGAGGAGCAGCAGTGCAGACTGCAAGCTCGATTGTCTGAGAGCGTGGCTCGCTTGTCTTCTCCAGCGCTGCTGAGGAGAGGAGAGTCTGCTCTTGACATTTAGCTTTATCACGACGCAGAACGAGGGCCCCACGCTTACTACTGCTGCGCTTCGCTCTTCTACTTCTTCTGCGTCTGTCACCTCTGGGCCATCTCACTTCTCTGGTGCTCCAAAAGCCTCTCTCTCTCTCTCGCTTTCCCTCTCTTTCCCTGCGTGTGTGTCTCTCTCTTCATCAGTCTACCAGTCTACTGCCGTCAGGTTCTCGCTGCTGCTGCTGCTGCTCTCCGCGCGGCCCCACTATTACCATCACCGGGTGCTTTGAGCTCGCGAGCTCCACAATTTGAGACTCTCGCGCTGTCCGAGCTCCTATTCAGGCGAGAGCATTCGGAGCAGAAGACTTCGCTCCTTCACACATGTGAGCAGCAGAGGAGAACCTTTTCGGTGCCACCGCAGCTCCAAGGTCGACGAGACTCAGCAGGGGAATGACGAGAGGATCGTGGTAGGACGCTGCAGCTCGGTACAACATCGGCACTCGGGTCTTCGAAGCGCGCACTCCTGATGGGTGTTCGGCGGCAGGGCGGCCTTGATGCCAGAGTCGCAGCAATGGATAGATGGAGGAGGGCGCAGGTTCTGCTCGTGGTGTTCTTCGTAGTGGCTTCGGTGGTGCGGGCAGAAGTGTACATGGTTCTCATGGATGGTGAGCCGGTCGTGAGCTACAGAGGCACACTCCCAGGTCTGAGCGCGACTCGTGGCCTGTCGCCGAGGTCGGCCACATTTCAAACCTCCGGGTGCGTACTCAATTTCTGCTCGCTCCCTCTCGCACCATCTCTCCATCTCATCTCATCTGAGTCCTCTTTAGCGCCACCTCAATGCCGTCCCTCTCACGCGTGGGGACGGTCTCGGATGATGATGATGAATATGATGATGATTAATTAGCTCAAACCCGACCGCTTGTCGTTCCAACAACTCGTACGATCAGGCCTCCATCGACACTAATCATCCCCCCAGACGCTGTCACCACCAGCAGCCAGCAGCCAGCACCTCAATGCTGCGTCTTCAGCTCGTTCCCCATTGAACTGTCAGCTGAGCCAGCAGATGGCCGCTGGCGGTGACCCCGTCCAGGTGAGCTATTCTCGTCTTCGTTGCTCTCGTTCCTCGTCTCCTCCCTCCGATCTGATGCTGGCAAAAGAAGCCCACGGGGCGAAGGATTCGTCAATTCAGGCGAGAAGCGCAATGCGCTGTCGGTTTTAGCGACGATCCTGGCGCCCTGCGCTCTGGATTGGCGGCAAATTGCGACGTGAACAGAGCTGCAGACACAGTATCAGACATTACTGCGGGCGGCAGGAGCAGGCCGCCGTCATACGAGACTCGTAATGCAGAGTTGACTCAGACGAGAGCCAATTCTTCGCCGTCGAGTTATGGCAGTAGACTGATTCCGTTCATGGCGATTCTTTTCGGTGCATTTACGGGGGGACTGAATCTCGCTCGGCATGGATGGGTGCAGGCTGCAGGCAGTGCGAGCGTACTCCACCCACTTGGTGTCGCAGCAGGACAAGCTGCTCGAGAGCAGCATCGGGAAAGGCGCCTACAATAAGCTGTACAGCTACAACTATCTCGTGAATGGCTTCGCCGCCGAGATGAGCCCCGAGCAGGTACTTGGGTGGACTGGCTGCTGTGCTGTGCTCTGCTGTAGCATTGAGTGGCGATGTTTGTGGCTGTGCGAATACGCCAAGCGCTGATGCAGGCGCAAGATTCTTGTCCTTGTGCGGCTGAGTTCGGTGTGTTCTGGTCTGGTCTGGTTATGGTGTTGATCGGTCTGTCTAGCTGTCAATTGCTTTTTCTCTCGATCGAGGTGCAAGGCGATGAACCTTTTGGCATGTGGGATGGGAATTGAAGGCAGACATTCTGAGCAGAACGCCGGGCGTGAAGCGAGTGGAGAGGAGCAGGCGAGTGAAGAGCTGCACCACTCACAGTCCGGATTACTTGGGGCTGGCCAGCGGCTTGTGGGCGCAGGCTGGTGGGCCTGAGAATGCGGGCGAGGGAATTGTGATCGGAATCGTCGATACTGGTATCAATCCCGAGCACCCGAGTTTCGCCGCCAGCAGCACCAAGCCCTACGGGCCCGTGTCCACGTACCTCGGCAACTGCGAGGTCCACTCCAGCTTCCCGCAAGGATCGTGCAATGGCAAGATCATCGGCGCCCAGCACTTTGCGGCCGCCGCCAAGTCCGAGGGCGCTTTCAACACCACCATCGATTACGATTCCCCTCTCGATGGAGATGGACACGGATCGTAAGTGCCTGCCTGCCCTCCTGGCGCCTGCAAATCCCGAATCGCCCCGGATGTCGATCGCCATCCGGCGGCACATTGATGTCCGCAGCTGCATTGCTCTGATCCTTATCGCGGCACTGCCTGTAATTTCTGGCATCCCCCTCTTTCTAACAGGTCTTGTGTTTCTCGCTCCAGGCACACAGCCTCCATTGCAGCAGGAAATCACAATGTTCCTGTCATTGTCGGCGGAGTCAACTACGGCAATGCCAGTGGCATGGCCCCTCGAGCTCGGTACGCCCGCTCGCCTTTCGTTTTGTCAGCTTAATTGCTCACCAAATGTCACAAATGCCCACGGCCATTTCAGATACCCCCGCAAATGCTGAATTGGGATTGCACTCGGGGCTCTGGCCTGGGTCGGTCTGCCATGGCGAAGAATGTGCCTCATGTTTCTCGACTAAGGAGTGATCGACAGCTTCAGCTTCTGATCTTGTGATCGTGCTCAATGAACGCAGAATCGGAGTGTACAAAGCTCTGTACAGATTGTTCGGAGGCTTCAACGCCGACGTCGTAGCTGCCATCGACAAGGTGAGATGCCCACCAGATTGAGGGTGGTGTGCATGGTGCGTGATGTAGGTGCTAGGAAAAGGAATAGAATTTGAACAGGACGCCATGAAAGCAGTGCGCGGTGGTCTTGTGGGCCACTCACGCGTAGGGAAGATTCTCGCTGTCTGGGATGCGGCGTCGAGGAAATAAAAAAACTCAGGTCAATGAGCGTTTCAACGCAGAGTACAAGAATTGGTCGGACAGCTGAGCCAATTTTGAGCTTTGTGTCGTGGACTGCGTGCGCAGGCTGTCCAGGACGGAGTGGATGTGCTGAACTTATCTCTGGGGCCGAACAGCCCTCCGGCCGAGACAACCATCACCTTTCTGAGCATATTCGATTTGGCGTGCCTGGCGGCCATCAAGTCCGGCGTCGTCGTCATCCAAGCCGCAGGCAATGGAGGGCCCTATCCTCAAACCACCCTTTCCTTCAGCCCCTGGATCACCACCGTCGCTGCTGGCGTTGACGACAGGTCCTACCCGAATTGGCTCAATCTCGGCAACAATTTGAGGTTGATGGGGAAAGGCCTTGCACGTAAGTCCCCGAGCCTTGACCTGGCCTGAGGGCTATGAGTTGGAATTCAGCAGCAAGTCCTCGATTCTCAGATGCTGTTTGGTCGAAGATGCGCCTCGTGCAAAGATTCCACTAAGAACATTGCCTCGTTTCCATGTTGCTGCAGCTGCGACACCGGGAGATTTCATGAACAAAATGGTTCTGGCTGCCGACGCTGTCACAGGCCCTATCAACCCCATTTATGATCCCAGCGATTGCCAAGATTCAACCTCGTTGGACAAGGCGATGATCGCTGGAAATATTCTGATCTGCACGTATTCGTTCAATTTTATCTATGGAGGATCCACCATCAAGCGAGTGGAAGAAACGACGAAGAATTTAAGCGCAGCTGGCTTCGTCATGGTGGTGCAGAGTGATACTGCCGGGAGCAGATTCAATCCAATCCCAATCACTGTCCCGGGTATTATCATCACGTCGCAGAACGAATCTCAGGTACTCCCGGGAGCGATTCACTCGACCATTCTCTGCAGTGTTTGAGAGAATGGCTGTCCACGAATCCTGCTTTCCTCTTGGTGCAACTGCGTAGCTGGAAGCTGGCCCCCATGTTTCTGATCCGGATGGCCTCGTTGATATTTCGTTTGCAGATTTTACTAGACTATTACAACAAGACTACACTCCGAAATGTCAAAGGTCAAGCTGAGACTTTCGGTGCTGAGGCAAAGATTGGAAATGGCCAGACGGCAGTGTACAGCGGGACTTCTCAGGTGGTGGCGTTATTCTCCTCCCGCGGACCCGACATTCGAGATTTCAGCTTCAACAACGCCGACGTTTTGAAGCCCAACATAATGGCTCCCGGTTCTCTGATCTGGGGTGCTTGGACTCCAGTGGGCATCGACGAACCGAATTTTCTTGGTGAGTAATATCTCAAACCGGAGGAAGTAGTCTGACGAATCAGAGCAAGTTCCTTTAAGCTCATGACCGACTCGAGCTAGCTTGACGACCGCCATGTAAGCTGACGATGAGAGTTATTTATCCGGGCATGAAAGACGTAACCATGGGGCCTCTTATCTTCATGTGAATTGAGTGAAGGTTTAAGGTTTTAATTTCTTTTGAATTTCCCTCCTCAGGCAAGGACTTCGCCATGATTTCTGGCACGAGTATGGCCACACCGCACATAGCAGGCATAGCGGCGTTGTTGCTAGAGAGAAACCCCCAATGGAGCCCAGCGGTCATAAATTCGGCCCTTTCCACCACCGCTTCAGTGTTCGACAAGGATGGCAACCCTCTACAAGCGGAACACATTTCTTTCGGCGGGGCTGCCGCACCAGGACCCGGGACTCCCTTCGACTACGGAAGTGGTGCTGTGAACGCCACAGCAGCTCTCGATCCCGGCATCGTCTTCGATGCAGGTGAGCTGAAATTGTGATTGTTGGAAGTTCCGTTCACTTCAGTCAATGGCGAAGCTCTATGACTTTCGCCAAGCCTTTGTCAGTGGCGATTATGTGATGGATTCCACCCTACACACATATGTCAACTTTATTCATTACTTGTGATCGATTTCATCGTGTGCAGGGTACGACGAATATATTAAGTTCATCTGCACGGTGCCCGGAGTGGAGGAGGCCGCCGTGTTCAATTTGACGGGAAGCCGATGTAATGTATCTTCTGCAGACTTGCCCACGGACTTGAACACTCCATCCATTACAATCGCCTCTTTGAATGGAACCAGGGTAGTCCCACGGACTGTGACCAGCGTATCCAATCAGACAGAAACATGGTCGATCAAAGTCTCGCAACCCGAGGGCGTTTCTGTGGCCGTCGCTCCACAGAACTTCACCATTGCCCCATCCGCCACACAGAAGCTTGTAGTCGCCTTGACTCCAACAGTTGACTCTCCCGTTTTCACATTTGGCGAGATTTTTCTTACTGGTTCCCTAGGACACACAGCTCATATACCAATCTCCATTATTCAGTCCCAAGTTGCCGCTCGTTGAAAACCTCCGAGAGCTTTTCTTTCACTGAAGAAAGAGTCGATTCTTCAAAGACGTCACACGAAAATTTTCATACTGGAGAAATCTCAGGAACTCGACAAGCTTTTGCTAGAGAAGCTGAAGAGTAACGAGCTACTTTGTAAAGAGGAGAGTCTTGTAACACTAGTTGTTAGTCCTAAATTATTGATTTTTCACACGAATGGAGATCACTTAGGTAGGGTGCATGGCACACCTCCCACCGAACGGGGATTTTATGTCGTTTTGGACTGTTTTCTGCTCAACACCCCGACTGATTAATCAATCAACAGTGAGTACACAAGGGTGTTTCTGGAAGAGATTTATGTAGATTGTGCCTCGCTCGGCAGCAGTGTGAGAAGCTGTCATGCGAGCACGTTATGTACAATGAGACTTGAAATAATTTACGTCGTCCAGTTTCATCTTCACGAGCTTGTCACAGTCCATGCTGATCTCTTCCATCTCTTCCATCTCTTCCAATGCCTCTGCTGCGGCAGCGGTACCCCATACCTCTCATGACGTTGATGGTCGTGCAGATTGTCCATCATGCGCAGTTTATGACTCATGTCCGGGGTGGTTGGAATGCTTCAAGCGCGTCGTGTGCTTCGGTGAGGCTTCCAAAGCTAGACTATGGATGTTTGTAGCTCGTACCATCTGGTTTAAAATTCTAAGTGATTTGATCGCAAGTGGAACCGAGGGTCGTAATGAGTGCTTTGTAAGCACACCCCTACTGGGCATGTGCTTAGCCTCGGGGAAACTAGGAGCGGTGCAGCGACCTATGTAGAGGCTATGCACATGGGTCCGGGCACATAGGAGTCAGCCCCTGGATCGCAATCACACGCCTCGCCTCTTAACTCAGACTAACATTAGAGAGGACAATGCCAGCCGCTGATAAATCTAAAACTCGACGACTTTGCTCTGCGAGCTGCTGGAGCAGTAATTAACAGGTCAGTCTGAGCTGGACTTCTCGAATGCGTCGGAGAGATGGAAATCTCTCTCCATGCCAACTCTCTTGCCTCGCTGCCGGAAAGGCTTTCGGTAGGGCAGTGAAGTTTGGACACGGAGATCACGACATGGGCCTGCGTGGTCTTGCGCAAACCTGTCGACGTCATCAAGTCGGGGCGAGATTTGGACCAGCAGAAACTCGTTGTCGAAGCTCGAGGCGACTGCCAGCTATGTTGCGCATTTATAATGCCGTACCATATCTCGAAAAGGTCATGGCGATTCAAATATCTGTACCTCCGCGATCTCGCTCGAGATCGAACCAGAGGATTGGTAGCGGCGTCCTTCTCGAACTCTTTGAATTATTACAAATATCTACGTGAGAGCTCGTCGCGGTCAGGCAGGCGGACCAGTGCAGAGGAATTCAGACGGAAGAGCTCTTCAAACGGTGACAGGCCAAGGGCTGTCGTCCCTGAATGAATCCATTAGATTCAGTATACGGTACAGTATGCCCTCCAGTACTTGATGTCTCTCCTGTAAAGCACGGACCTCGTACAGGCCATCCTCCTCATACGTCCGTCCAGACTCCAGTGCAGGGCAGTGCTTTTTCTGGAAAGCTGGGAGCTCGTAGCGTCGACTTCAGACTTGCACTCCATACAATATACTCTTAATGTACATACACCGTGTATCTCAGAATCCGTCAGTACAGAAGTGCACAACACGGACTTATACTGCGTAGGGGTTCATGATTCTCCATGCCTGCGAGTGAGGAGGAGCTCAGAATCGCAACTCCGTCCTGGCTTTGAATCGTCGAGTCTGCGTGCGTGTCACAAGGATGCACCTCGCACGGAGTCCAGTCGAGTGGCACATAATTGCTTTATTTTACTGGCAAGAGAGAAGAGGATCGCTGGGAAGGCATTTGTACACGAGGGTCGTAGAAACAGCATGCGCGCTTCAGGAGTAGGAGGGGGGCTTTCGAGCCGGAAGAGGAGCAGCGATAAGTCAGTCGGGCGCCCGTACGAAAAGCCAAGCAAAATGGGAAGTTTGACTAACCGAGTGTCCACTTCCGAGTCGAACCTTGCACGGCCTGCGTCTTAAAACACACAATCATACACGAAGAATCGCAGCCTAGTACAACCTGCCCTTTCGAGATTTCTTAGTCGTCGAGAGTACAGTTAAAACCATTACGCAGATAATAAGCAACTCAAGAACTGTTTTAGACAATAGTAGAAAAAACACATGTATTTTTTTTAATAGTGAAGTTATTTTTCCTTCATTTAGGGCGAGTTAGTACTCACCCTAAATATTCTAACCCTGAATGCTATTTATCCGAGGAACTATAACTCTGCATCTTCTGGAGTAAAACGAGGGCTAATTGGCCTTAAATGAGGGATAATTAATCGCTCCCTTTTTATATATATTATGAATATATTAATATACATCATGGAAGATTATATTATCTCCCATAATGGAAGAAAGTCCCGAAAGGTCATGTCTAAAATGAAGAATCAAGTAATGCGCCTTTGTTTTAACGACGTTACATGATCAACATACACTAGTTCTTTTTTCAGTCCTCTATGATACCTTTTGCAAATCCCGATGAAGAGAAGGAGTTAGGGTGATGTGGGTTACGCAGAAGATTATGATCTGGATTTAGACTTCAAGCTAAGTTTCATGGCAGGTGGTCTCTAATTCACAAAGTGACTTTGACATCTGCCTAAAATTATGAACTGAAGAGAACTGAAACTGCAGAAAGTGTAGAGTAACTGTTGACCAGAGGCCCTCAAATAATATCTATGACAAAAGATTCAAGCACTTTTCATAAACTGTTACCTTTAATCGATTAGCATTTGATGTGCATTCCCAAGTCGGAAGAAAAAAAATTTAAACGATGCAACTCATTTACATTTAGCCAGATACCAATTAGACAGTGCAGACTGGGCCTCGCTCGACATATCGAACACTTCAATCATGCATGAACCCGAGACAACTGAGCGTATGCATTTACTCTCACTGTATATGAGGGCTACTGAGCTGCTGAGCTGCCAAGGGGCAGAGCAACTGTGGTGCTGGTGATCGATGCTGGACTTTCCTGATGGATTTCCCAGGGGGCAGGCATTTGGATCTAGTCTTCGTTCTATGTCTTATAGCATCACACTTTCCTCCAGAACGAACAGGTTTCAACGACAGGTTTCGGACGAGACACGATCAGGTGGCGTCGAGCCGAAGAGGGGTTTGACTTCGTGCCCATGACGACCTTCTGGGTGAGCTTCGCGCGATTTCCTCACATGTACGTGATTTGCTCGCCATTTCAGCAACCATCCAACCAGGGGTGGATTACGAGTCCCAGACCGCCTCTGCTAAAATCTAACGATGCAATTCGGCGTACGTGTTTAAGTCTAAGTGGTTCCTATCCAACATTTATGGCGGCACGACGTCCAAATATATTCTTTCAGTCCTAAGCGACCGAGAAATAGTCAACGAGCGTACTCTGTTGTACAGGGCCTTCCGAGGCCCATTGGAAATGTCTGATGTCCTGCGAAAGTGAACGGGAAGCATCATTCCCGATCGACCGCTTCTCGGACCAGCATCAACTGCAAGGAGACATCGGCGGATATAACAAGCTGGCAATCAAGGCATCGGAATCGTAGTTCTCGAGGTCAGTGCAGGGAGAATTTGATATCTGTAGGAGCTGAGTCGACTGACTGGCTGACTGACATTGCGGAAGCAGCCATGACGAAGGTGGCACAGATTGCACTGGGAAGTGCGGGCATGAGAGTTTCAGCGCTGGGGCTGGGGTGTATGGGTATGAGTGCTTTCTATGGTCCTCCTAAGCCGGATGGCGAGATGATCGAGCTCGTACACAAGGCGGTGGAGCTGGGCGTCACAATGCTGGACACTTCTGATGTCTACGGAGACCACACTAACGAAATTCTCCTCGGGAAGGTATTGGGAAGCACGAAGAAGTGATTCTCGCCTTTCAGTGAAGAACTTTTGAGTGTCGCAAAGCCAATTCTCAGCTCAACTCACTGCATTCGACTGCCTGACTGGCTGGTTTCCCTCGAGATTCCGTTACGTCTTTGAAGGCTTTCTCGGACTATCACTCACAGCCTCACTGTCTTCCTGAATCAGGCGTTGAAAGGAATCAGGGAGAAGGTACAGATTGCTACAAAGTTTGGATTTCAGTGGGGGAAGCCCGGAGTCAGAGGGGATCCCGAGTACGTGCGATCTGCGTGCGAGGCAAGCCTGAAGAGTTTGGATGTGGATTACATCGACCTTTACTATCAGCACAGAGTTGACAACAAAGTTCCGATCGAAGTAACTGTAAGTAGGAGAATGAAATTGCTTTAAGGCTCGTAAGGCTCAAGAATCGCTTCTGTCCTTCACTTCACTTAGCATTTGAGCATCTCGTGGACCAGCCCCCGTGACATTGCTTCTCCTGCAGATGGGAGCTCTGAAGGAGTTAGTGGAGGAGGGGAAAATCAAGTACGTCGGACTTTCTGAAGCATCTGCAGCAGATATCCGCCGGGCTCATGCTGTGCATCCAGTGACCGCCGTTCAGCTCGAGTATTCGCTGTGGTGTCGTGACGCGGAGAAGGAGATCATACCAACTTGCCAGTAAGCGAGCTTTGTTGTCGGATTAGTTGGTCAGACGCATAAGAAGCAGAATCAATAATTTGCTGTGCTCGGACGATCGAGTCCGAACTGGAGCATTGAAGTTAATCATTTTATTATCTGTGTGTGTACAGAGAGTTGGGCATTGGGATTGTGGCGTACAGCCCGCTGGGAAACGGGTTCTTCTCCGGATTGAAAGTGAACGAGCTAGCCGAGGGCGATGCAAGGGCGGTACGTCATGTCATACCAACTGAATTATTTCACAGAATGATTTGAAGAGTTTCGTGGCCCGCCTGATGATAGTCAGTAGGACGAGTTGTAGGTGCAGGGGAAGGGTTTATGCAGACTCGCTTCGAGTGCTTTCTCCTTTCCTTCTTTTCTCCCCAGTACAAACCTGAAACATCATCACCTGCAGATAAGACTAGCTCGATCTCGGTAGTGTTCGAAGGACAATGCTCGCCAAATGTTCCTCGTTCCTTGATCCAAAGCTTTGGTTTCTTCTCAATTCTATCTGTGTCAAGGTCGAGGAAGCGGAGGAAAAAACCTCCTACATAACCTTCGGAATCCTCCCAGTTTTCTTGAGTAGATATTGCCGATAGCTTGGCATTTGCGCTTTTCCTCTTGCGCTATGATTCGAGTCGAAACTATTGGTAAACGTCGATTTGATTGGTGGATGGATAAGTAGGTGCCCTTTAAATTTCAGCACCTACCGATCCTGAGTGTAGTAGATATGGATGATCGCCCCTGTAGCTAGGTGCTTGAGTTCGTCCTCACGTCTTTGCCACTCCATCATCGAACCTAGCAACTGAACGGGCTACGGAAATGGGCTGGAACCACCTCGCAACATGATTCAAGGAGGTTTCACAACCTTTTGTAACATGGGCTCGGGCTCGTCAAGTCTACTAGCAGTACCTTTAGATTGATGAGACATCTGTGGTGTGCTGGAGCCAACTGGCTAAATGCCCAAAGCTGGGCTTGTCATCATCATGAGTAGCATAGCATACCTCTACATCATCCACATCCTTCACAAAGAATTCGGACGATAGGCGCTAGTCTATGACACTCACAGACGAATCGTGAAAACTCCCTACAATTGGAAGGGGGTTCTCGTTTCGCTAACAGCAATCGATTGAACTGTCCCTCCTGTTGAGACTGATGGGAGCCATCGCGGCCTCACAGGAACATTTGAATGAAGAGTGGCTCCATCCGTCTACCGGACCATCCAGCATTCCATCGCTTCGTTTGCCATGCGAATGAAAAGGTCCGAGTGGAAGTTTTGGGCTTTCTTCTACTGAGCTTTGAAGTTTCAAAACCCTCATGGAATCTGCGTTCTAACTGTTGTTCTGGAACGACGGCTTGCAGACTCGAATTGCGAAGCTCGCTGACGGAAATTACGAGAAAAACAAGGTTTTCTTCGAGCGATTATGTGAAATGGGTGCAGAAAAGAAGTGTACATCTGGTCAGCTCGCTCTTGCATGGGTTCGACACAAGGGAGTGGTAGCGATTCCCGGTACAACGAAGTTGAAAAACCTGGAGGAGAATATTGACTCCTTACGAGTTCAACTCAGTCCTGAAGCAGTACAGGAAATAGAGACGGCTGTGCCTCATGAGCAATTTCAGGGTGAGAGGCCATCACAGATAAACATCAGTCCTCCTCTCGATACATGGACAGGTCGTAGGCAAGACTAAACTAGTCAGATCCTGTTTCCACAGGAAGAGGGAGAGAAAGCTCTCGTTGATGAGAGGCATCATAAGATGCTTACGATGCTTCTCATCAACGAGGACCATGGTCATTGTCCCTCGTAAACTCCCCATCTGTACAAACTAAGGTTGAAGTCGCACAGTGAGAACAGAGCGGCTAATACGCGCTGATTCTCAGCCTCTGCCGCTAGTTTCGGTTTTTCCATCTGCCACATACTTGCCAGGGTATCCCTATGCCACCATCAGGTTCCAATTTACGAAGGCTTACTGGCGGTAACATATCATGATCAGGGTGTACTGGGGACAGTTTATTAGACTGATTGTGAAATGAAGCTTTAAGTAAATATCGTAAATTAGTCTTCGAAATGTAGGGAATGTAACAATGTCTATCAAAAGTCTACTGCACGTTTCATGTTTCATGTTTGCAATTTATCTTTTATAAAATCACTCCACATGGAAAAACGACACAAGCTTCTACTTCCATTTACATGGTCTGTTGCGAGAGTACGTGGTCTACCGGGACGTGAAGCTTACGCATGTCAATATAAGTGTGATCCCCTGTCGTTACTGTTTACTGGCTCTACAATATCATCATCAGTGAAGGACTGATTCTTTTGTTTTCTTTCCTTTGAAGGCTGTGTCTTGACCAGTGCCACAATGATGATAAATGTTTGGCATCCAAGTTGTTGTACACAACAAGCGACCATTTTCGTGGCATTGACTGAATTCGTCCAAACAACTTGCTCCTTAAAGTTCTCGGACTCTGGTCATCAAGAGAACATTAATTACAGTGATGAAGTCAATGTCAAATTTCCGAATTACACAAGTCAGCGGAAGTTTCCTTTCAGGATATGACGGACGCTGTATCCTCCCGGGTACGCTTTTACATTGCCACCAAGTTTCAAGATGACCATCGGTCTAGTATGCTGTAATCGAAAGGCATATACAGTATAGGCCTTTCATTTACAATGACTGCCAAATACTAATGTGCATGATGCTCATCGATGAGTGGCTAGGCTAGTAGAGCACCTGTCCAGGAATCACCAGGAGGACTATTTCAAAACCCCTCAGTATGGTTCATGTCCTTGTATCTGTCCCCTAGCATTTCGTCAGGAGGCACAGATGCTCCTAGACTCTGGATGTCATTTGCAGTGAGCTTGAAAGGTCAGGGGTCCGACGTTCTCCTCCAGATTTTGAGGCCTCGTTGTACCTGGGACAGGAACCGTTCCTTCGTGCTGAATCCATGCGAAAGCGAGCTAGCCACTTGTACAAATCATAGTGGCCCCCCATTAACACAATTCCTCAAAACTGTCACCAAAAGATCTTGGAACCGCATACTGCAAACATACATACATATCAGGATATAATCATCAAGTGGAATAAGTACATGATCAGGGATCCGGATGATAAGTAAACACCATACCATTTACACACAAGGACAGTCCACAACAATTCACAGATCACAGCGCGCAATCTGCTCCACAATTCAACCACCAAATAGTTATCAAACGTTCAAAGCATTTTGTTCCACTTTTCAGCAAGAATTATAGTGAGAAGTGTGCGTCAACAACAATCCAATTTCAATCGTTAGCCATAAGAAACTAGAGCGTGTTTATGACATGACCGAACAATAAACAATGCACAGAGGAAAATTCTGTCTTGCCTGAACACGAACAGATATTTCGTCATGTCCAAATCGGATAATAAGTGTGAAGGTGAACGCACCTTTCTGCAGTCCTTGTCAGTGAACTCTGCCATGATTCTTGCCAGAAAGGAAGCATCGACTCAGCGAGTTGTAGGACACAAAGCATACACCCAACTCTCCCAGCCCATTGATAGACGAACGTGGTGGTAAGGGTCCTCAACTTCCTTGCATTTCGGCCGGTAGCTGTAGCTGGCATCGCATGCCTAGCAGTTTACAGCACAATATCGTAAAATGCTTCATTTCCGAATCCCATTCAGACGGATGTCCTCGACGTCACGAGCCCACAGCAAACTCCCGATATGTACAGCCGTGCTAGGATGCTTACCTTCCTGGACCAGTCTCTCCATTTTGCCAATTTTGAAAGCAAAAGCTTCCAGACCGGTTAGACATCCACTGAAAGAATGATCCAGAGCTGGACTCCTCCAATCACAGTACACAATGCGAGAACTCTTAAAAGGCGACAATTTACGGTTATCTCGATTGAAACTTTCTCATCCACTCTGTGCATTTAAATCTAATCGACGCAATCCAGATCCGAGGGAACCTTTTCAGACTTCCCTCGCGAGCAGATCGCACGTACTCTGGATATCCTCTGTTGCATATGTAGATATGCAACAGAATGCAACAAATTTTGAACAAATCTGTACCTATCTTTCATAACTTCGGCAGCCTATATCGACAAGCAATCCGGTTTATCAGTCCGAGCGGAACATGAAGAGATCTGTCGAGATTGCAAATACTCACTCGCAAACATGAACGGATTTGGGTCTCGTCCATAACTTGCCCTCTAGAATTTCCATTATGTGAGGTCGTGATAATCATTCCAAAAGCTTCATGTATCGATTGGATATTTCCACGACGAGATCGGAGGACCGTATGCCGTCGACATGCCCATACATCCTAGCTACACTTACCCTACCATTACAAACTTCCAAGACGTTTGAAGCTTTAGATCAATCAATTTCAAAGATCAATCAATCAATCTCAAAGATCGATCAACAATTTTTTGACCGTAAATTTTGTTGAACAATCGGTTTGAAGAGATCACTATCACATTTTGTTGAAAGACCCTTGGCATGGTACTCGAAATCCTTGGGTTTCCCGGGGAACCTTTGCTTCAGACGCCATGTTCAGATTTCCAAAAGACAGGCACACTCTCCAAACTCACTTCGATCGATCATTATGTCTGTCTTCATCTGCCTTCCTTATATTATACGGTTTCCGATCGGAGACCCATGGATCACAAACGATATCTCCCCATGGCGTATGTGAAGGTCTTTGATTGCAGCTTGCTTGTTCTTGTTAGAATCATACTCCAAATCAATTCGATTCTAGCTGTGCCATGTTGTATATTTAAGACAAAGCAATAGGCTACTGCATCATGTGAAGCATTTTCTGAATAGTGTCGCGTCAACGACTTGAGCCTACTTTGAGTTCAGTTTCTCAGACGAGGACGGGAAATAAGGTCCCGAAGAAGAAGACAGCGTCGCATAGAGCATCCGAGATAGCCGAGCTGGGAATTGAGTCAAGAGTAGAGGAGTTCACCAAAGGTCTTGAACAGCTCAAGGTTCACAAAGTACATTATAAAGATAGATGGAAATCATCTTCATTTTTATTTTAGTCTGCATGGAAATAGTCCATGCATAGTATAAAGACGCAATGTATAGTTTTTAGGGTGCATGATATTGGAATGCAGATTATCATCCGCAAGAAGATTATCATATTCATGTGGCATGGATTCCAGTGTGAGATTGTTCAGCTTGTGTTAAATCCACGGAGGACCATGTATATGGTGTGCAGGTGGCGGAAGCTTCCTCTCCCACCCTAGTGTCCGAAGCCTCATGACGTGTAAGTAACTGTGTAGCATTCAATGTGCTAACATTCGCAAGGTGCCTTCGACAGATTATCACAGTCAAATATGTGCAATGTGGAATTATTCCACATCGGTCGTTTTCAATCATCCCTTGTCCTCATTATACGCAGCTCCTACAACCTTTGCTTTACGACTAAATAGAACCGTGTAAGTTATTTAAACCACTGTCAGACGTCTACTTATCCACCATTCAGACCGAATAGATGAGAACTCAATGTCTAGACCCAGTCCATGATTCAAGAGGGGGGCTGACGGTATAAATCCAAGTTTTACTCATGTCAGAAGATCTATCTCCTTGAACTTCCTGGTGGGGGACGGCATCTTCCAACGCTTTAATATCTTCTGGTGTAAGTTTGATGTCCAACGAAGAAATGTTCTGCTGCAAATTCTCCCACTTAGTTGTGCCTGGGATCGGAATTGCTCCCTTGTGTTGAACCCAGGCGAGAGCAAGCTGACCTGGTGTGCAATTTCTCTCAGCTCCCATGGCAACCAACTTATCATAAAAACGTTTGTTCTGTTGAAAGTTCTCACTGGAAAACCTTGGATGATTCTGCATAATATTAGTGGCAAAACAAAGTTTTGTCAGTTTAATTTCATTTCATTTTTAAAAACTGGGAACTGCAGAACAGTTTAGTGCGATGACGTACAATCATTCAGCCTTGACAGATCTACAAAAGCTGGACAGAACACCCATCTGCACGACTGTTACGATCAACATGATTTCAAAATTTTTTACTTGGATCCAATGTGCAGAAATCAAAACCTCTTCTGAAATCCTTACATCTTCAACTCCACACCGAAAGACTGACAACATCAACGTGATTTTTCCCAGGAAATTGAGTTCACATCAGCACACCTTTCTAATGTCGTTCTCCGACAAGTCTGCCAAGTTTTTCCCTGAGAGAAATCCACGGCCTAGAGGACTGTACGCGATGATGCCAATACCCAGCTCCCTGCACAAATTGAATTCCAGTCACGCTCAAAAGCTACCACTGCGACGTGAATTTTCTCCAGATCATATCAAACATATCGTCGTTCAGAAATGAAATCACCACCATCTGCACATACCTGCATGTTGGAATTATGTCGTCCTCAACATCACGAGTCCAAAGAGAATATTCGAGCTGTATGGCGGTTAGAGGGTGCACGGCATGAGCTCGTCGAATATCGGCGGCCGATGCCTCAGACAGTCCGATGTATTTGATCTTCCCTTCTTGGATTAGCTTCTTCAACTCTCCCATCTACGAGCACAATGTGTAGCGTGGTCATGCCGGCAAGAACCGGAATCTCCAGGTACCTGAACGTGGGGCATTGGCCGCTCAGGGAGACAAGTGTACAGACAGTCGTGTTGAAGCACTAAGGGAGGAGAAATTAGAGCTTACGTACAGTTATCTCGATTGGAACTTTGGTATCGACGCGGTGCTGGTAGTATAGATCAATGCATTCCACATCTAATCTCTTGAGGCTCCCCTCACACGAAGCTCGCACATACTCGGGATCTCCTCTGACACTCATGCCTTTACCATCAAAATGGAGGGCGAACTTCGTGCAAATCTGCACCTTGTCTCTGATTCCTTTCACAGCCTGGATCAGGATTGCAAATGCTTCACCTACTCAATATTCTCCCTTGAGTCAAGAGTCAACTATGAATTTCTCACATTCTGTGCATCTCCTTAAGACAATGATGCCTGCTTCAGCTCATTTCCTGCCGTCAGTAATCAAATCTCGTACCTTGCCTACAAGAATCTCGTTCGTGTGGGGTCCGTACACATCGGAAGTATCGAGCAGAGTGATCCCATGCTCCACAGCTTTATGAATCAGCGCTATCATCTCCTCCTCGGGTTTCTGAGGACCGTAGAAGGAAGACATGCCCATACAGCCTAAACCTTGGGGAGACACTTGAAACCCTTGGCTTCCCAGTGCAACCTTCGCCGTCGCCATGTCTGCTCGTTCTCGAGCTCCTTGCTGTTCCCAGATTCACGAGTTTGCGCCGAAAATCTGATTGTAGCACTCAAATACACTCACGCTTCAGATCTGTAACCACTTGGCCCGACCGGCGCTTGAATTTGAAATTATTAATGATAAACCAGGAACTTGAAGATCAAGTGCTCGAAGATCTGAAGCTTGCGAGCACGCCCTTCGAACCGTCCAGTTGTAGCTCGCCGCTTACGCCTCAGGCAGCTGAGCCACAGTTGCAAGTCAACCGCATCTGCGCAATTGGTTCCATCGATCTATCGCTGATCCATCTCAGATTACGAACTCGGCTGAAAATCTCTGAGAAGGACTGTCTTGATCGATCTGGACTATTTCCAACTCCCTTGTGAGCAAACTAACTGCAGACAGAAATCCTTCGTGGTTTTCTTCGTCTCTTGCTTAAAACGAGGAGTATGGAAGCACTGCAAGACGTACTTATAGACTACACCCGGACCAGTGGATTGGAAACACCGTGAGAAACAGTCGAAGTTTCTGGATTCAGAATCTTGTCGACAGATACTGAATTCAGGATTCCACGATGTGGTAGTTGCAGTTACTCACTTGCCCCGAACACATGGCAATGAAAATGCTGTGCTCGTTTCGCCTGTTTGGTTACTTACTAATAAAAATATTAAAGAATTGTTCCAACTGGAATTTGGGAAATTTTTGGGGCGCGCCGGTCACTGTTTGGTGTGTGACACCAAATACTTGGTGACACGGGTTTGTTTCACGTGTTTTTTTAAGTCATTACAAGAGCTCATTTGTACAAATACCATTAAAACTTTCGAGTGAATAATGTAACTTAATCTAGAAAAGTAATTTGTTAACAAATATTTGCGTTTTGATAAAAGCTTCAGGTAGGATATTACATTAACAAGGATCATCGACTACAAAGCTAAGGAATTTGTTGAAATAAATAGAAATTTTACAAGTGAGACTGTTTTCCATAAATATAGGAGTAATATGAATCTTTATTGTAAAGAGTAGTGTCATATTATCAAATCATTTGACTACTTTCAAAAAGACTCACCATTTGTTATTCATATTAACCCCATTTTTTAGATTTAAATTTAAGTAAGTCATAAAACATTATTCTAGTTGATGATATCTACTTCAATATTTTATTCACTTTTGTTGTTGAAACACCTTGTTCCACTAAAACGAGAAATTGGTTTCATTAGGTAGATGTGTGCATACACCTAATGTATGTCTTAGCATTTCTAATATGAGTAATCATAAAATTATATTTCATTAGCTATATGTGTACATTTCTAGTTAAAATATTCATTTAGCATGTTATCCATGTAGAGTATTAGAATAATGAGATTAAAAGTTTTAATTTCAATATGTATATATATTATATTGTAAAAATTTTTGTGTTTTCATGAATTCATTAAATCTTACATTCTTCTTTTTAATGATATTGTTATCATTATATAGAGATATAATGATTTCATTAATTTACAATCCAAGTTCTCTTGACTTTTCTTGTCAAAATCAACTTCTTATGTAAACTTTTTTCTCTAAAGATTCATATAATATGGAGTAATTGCATACATCTGATGTACACCCAGACTAAATATTGCAGCAGTGCATATACTAGTCAAATGGTAGCATACTTTGCTACATGTGAAGAAAATTTGTTATATATTAAAAGAATTTCTTTTGTAAAATTATTAACTATTATTTTTCTCGACTGCGAAAATAATTATAGTTAATTACGAAAAATTTTGACTGCAAAAAGTTTTCTCTTGCCATATTTTCTATTGTTTATCAGTTTGTACAATCATATGAAATTAATCAAAGCTTGATTACTTGGAGAATCTATTAATTCTCATGTTTTTTATTTCATTAGCAATTACACTTCACAACAGTATTTCACTCAAGTTTATTGACTAAGGTTTGAATTTTACTATTAAAATAAGTTTTTTTTTCTTTTGAATTCTATGCAATGTTATCTTCATCTTTGATAACAATATCAAAATTTTCCAAAATGGATGAATCAATCCATAATTTATATTTATATGAATCCCACTAATTTGACTTGATGATTTCTTAGTTGATGATTCTAGTTGAAATTTATTAACTGATGCAAATATTTGAATCTTACCCACAATAACTTGTCACTCCAATGCTTTCTCTTCAAAATTTGTTCGATCTTTAACTCAATATGTTCTTGTGTCACATCATTAATAACACGTGTAAGTAAATCTTGCTCTTTCAATGATCTCGATGTCTTGAAAAAACATTCCTATTGTCAATAACTTTACAAGCCACTTGGTTTCATAACCTATAACCAGAAATAATTATTTTAGGTAACCTTATAACAAGGCGCCTAAATTAACTAAATTTACGTTTAAATTAAAAGGAGCATCTAGATTATGATTGGCTCAAAATTGAAACATGGTAGATTCCAACCAATGAGGTGTGATGATTGTTAATCAGTTTGTAACCAAGTCTGTCTCATAAGTCACCAAGATCATAATCGAAAGTTTGTAAATTAATTTTTCTCTCGTTCATGACCTTGAACCAAATGTGGAACGGAAAGATCATGGATGTCAAATTGGGAGGCCCCGGTTCCTGAGGGAATCTCCCATCCCGACCAATTTATACCTCGATCTCTGGGGATCCTATAGAGCTCCTTCGAGCTTGCCTTCGCCGGGGTTGATTTGACCCTAATAGGTTTCCTGCTGATTGGTCAAAATGAGATATTTTTCCGACAGGGACTCTCATTTCGTCGACGATTCCAGAATACAGTGAGAATGTTGGAATGTACCTAATGGCACATGAGAGCCCTCATATTCCATTATCAGTTTAGTATTGCTTTTAGTTCATTTTGTCACTCGGGCTCTTAGTACCAAATGCTTAGATTTCCGGGATTCGCCCTGTGGGCCCTATGGCAAAAGTGGATAAGTTCGGGACGGGAACCCGTTTGCACATGCGAAAGAACTGGGCGATGAGCCACGAATAGAAAAACAAATAAAAAAAGGGCACAAAAAAAGTCAGATCCTTCACTCGACCTTTGGTCGACTGAAGGATCACATGATGCAGCCTGATGTATACATGCAAGAAGGCAGCAAAGAAACTTAATATTATATTAATCAACCTGAGCACTAAGGGCCATATAAAAGCGAACGTGAGCCTCATCACACGGATAACTTTTGCCATTCCATAATCTATAAAAGGTATTTTTTTTACCCGACGCACTCTTGTGAAGTTTGCTTTTATTCAAAAAGCAAACGCGTGACCAATCACGAAAGTTGAGATATTCGGCACAGGAACCCTTAGAAAAGAAGTCTCTAATAGCTTTCTTGATTCCAGGTTGGTGCGTTAACAGCCATTTGCTCCAACGGCTGAGCTATTAAAGAATAAACACCAAAGAAACAAATCGAAAAAAAAATAAAATCAATCTTGGAACTACACTTTTATACAAGCTTCTATTTTGGGTTAATCCGCAACTCTTTTCACTGGACGAACTTGGCCCCGGGCCCCAAGATTCAAGTCAACACCAAAGACAAAATGTGGATTGTTCCGGGCCTCCTTCTTTGGGGTGGCGCCAGCTCCCTACGGGGCCGACCCGCTGGAGCCGACGCTACGCTTCTCAAGTACAGTAGTAGTTTTGGATCATATGTTTCTGTAATAGGGATTTTTTGTTTCTTTGTAGTGGTTTTTCTTACTTTATCTAGTGAAAACAAGTGTGCTCCAAGTACTTGGCCGTTGAACAGAATTCAACGACACTTGAATGGATGGTCCCAAGCCCTCCGGCATTTCATACTTTTGAAGAATTTCCGGATCCTTCATTCCCTTTCAAGTGCACTCAAGACTACTTTTTGCACAAAAGTGACTAAATTACATAAATTAACTTTCTTGATGCAACTAAATAAAGCGTATTTAGGTGATTTAGTCAACCGATTAATATAACCATGCGTGCATATAACCTTTCACTTCACTAATATATAGAAAAATATCATTCTTGGATTTAATATCAAACTTGATACTATTTCTATTAGTTAGCAAAGGATAAGTAGTACAATAAATAATTCTCAAAAAAATATTATTAGTCATTCGTTTTTGTGTTTCAATTCAAACAATATCAAAATATTGATTGCACCAAAAGAAAAAAAAAGCTTTATCAAACTTTGATGTTATTTTGCACTAAAAATATTAATAGTGCAATATTGATATTTTTAATACAAAACTCATATGGCTTACTAGATTGATTGAACATACAACATATTTTATTGAACGCTATTTGATTGAATTTCTTAGATTGAATTCTATAATGGATCATAAACTGTGATGAGAAGATGAATCATCTACTCCTCTTTGCAATAACTTCAAACCTTTTAAAATATATTTATGATCAATATCTATACATAAATATCTCAAATTCTATAGAAAGTTTCAACATTTCAATTTTTAAAAAGTTGTAAGTACTTCAGATTTTTGTGTGAGGATATAAATGCATACAAACCTTGAATAGTCATCAATGAATGATAAATAGTGAAACTTTTGATGAAATAAAACTTTTGAAGAGAGTTCACACACGTCACTATCTATATATATATATATATATTAAAGTGACTTTTGTGAATTTCAACATCAAAATCTTGTATATGATGGTTGCACATAACACAATATTCATAGAAATTCTGAGTCAACTTTATGACATGCATCTACTTGATATCGTCTAAGAATGTCAAATAAATATTAATTTATGTAAGTGTTTGAGGTGAAAGTAAATGATAAAATTATGTCAAGAGATCATAAGCACAACAATTTATATATATTAGAGTATATTATCATATATGGTGAAGTTAATTTGATTAAATTTCAAACTTAGATGTTTCATGTATGACATTTTATACTAGATTACATGAATAATATGTATTTGACACTCTTTGGCAATATCAACTTTTTACATGCCATAGTTTAAGTTACCTAGAGTTTCTATGAATATTGTGTTATTTACAACCATCATATACAAGATTTCGATGTTGAAACTCAAAAAAGTACAATACCATAGCCTAATATAACAAATGTGATTAAAACAAGCAAGATCCAAAATCTATACATATCAACATCTCTTGATGGATTGCATAAGTCATATCTTAACATCATATTCTGTTGTCTAACATGTCATTCTCTTCATGATCAAACTCTTGAGTCACATTAGCTAAAATAGTATCAACATTTTTCATCTTCACACAATAATTTTTGACATGGTCACTTTGTCACATTTCTAACATTGCAACGTCTTACTCTTTGAAAATTTATTGCTAGATTTGGATCTACTTTTAGATCCAAAACACTTGTCATTTCGTTAATATGATCAAACTTGAATTCAAAGCCGTATCAAAGAAGAATATGTAGATCTGGTATTATCTTCTCATGATGTTGTAAGTTGTAAACGGTATCTTCTCATGATTTTG